AGCTTTTTTAATAAATGATGTTGAAATAACTGGATATCCATATAGAGATAATCTTGACCCATTCCTCAAGTTATATACAAAAATGAATGTAAAATGGAAATAGATCTAAAAGCAAAGGCAAAAGACAAAAAATTTCTTTAAAAAGCACATAGTAGAAAATACTTGTAATATTGAGTTATGTAGCATTGCTTAAATTGGAAACAAAAAGTATAAATCTTTTTAATTTATTTTTTCTTGATTATGCCATTACAGTTGTTCTCTTCCCCCACTTCATTCTCCTCCACCCTACCTCCTTGTCCCCACCATTACCCCCCCTTTAGTTTATGACCATGTGTCTCAAGTTCTTTAGACTCTATATTTCCCATACTATTCTTGCCACCCCCTTCTATTTTCTATCTACAGTCTATGCTACTTACTCTCTGTACCTTCTCCCCCTTCTCCTCCTCCCACTCCTCTGTGGCTAACCCTCCATATGATCTTCATTTCTATGTTTCCACTCCTGATCTAGCTGTCCTTTTAGTTTGCTTTTGTTTTAGGTGTGGTTGTTAATAACTGTGAGTTTGTTGTCCTTTCACTGTTCATGTTTTTTTAACTTCTTTTTCTTAGATAAGTCCCTTTAACATTTCATATAATAAGGGCTTGGTGATAATGAACTCCTTGAATTTGATCTTATCTGAGAAGCACTTCATCTGCCCTTCCATTCTAAATGAAAGTTTTGCTGGATAGAGCAATCTTGGTTATAGGTCTTTGGATTTCATGACTTGGAATACCTCTTTCCAGCCCCTTCTTGCCTGTAAGGTCTCTTTTGAGAAATCTGCTGACAGTCTGATGGGAACTCCTTTGTAGGTGACTGTCCCCTTATCTCTTGCTGCTTCTAGGATTCTCTCCTTCATTTTAATCTTGGCTAATGTAATTATAATGTGCCTTGGTGTGTTTCTTCTTGGCTTCAACTTCTTTGGGACTCTCTGAGCTTCCTGGATTTCTTAGAAGTCTATTTCCTTTGCCAGATTGGGGAAATTCTCCTTTATTAAGAGAAAGATTCAACTTCATCAAAATTAAGACTTTTGTTAATGTAAAGACACAAAGAAAAAATGTAAAGGTGAGACATAGACTGGATCATATATTATACCATCTATCATATATCATATATATCTGACAGAGGACTTAAATATAACTATATAAAGAACTCTTATAACTCAATAATAAGAAAGTAACACAATTTGAAAAACAAAGGTGAATAAAAGATTTGAGCAGACATTTCCCAAATGAATAAAGCTGACAAGCACAGAAAAAGATGTTCAACACTTTTTCTTATGAGGGAATGCAACTTAAATAAAAAATATAATATTGACGTAAACCAAGTTGAATAAATACAATTAGAAAGACTCACAATACTGAAGTGAGAACACAGAACTAGTGCCTTCATGATAATGCTTGGAGGCATTCAATATGATAACATCAACTTAGGAAATTAGTTTTTCATTCTTTCCCATTCCTACCATGGAAGTCAGTAATTACCAGCCTAAGTGCCATATTTTATGGACTATAAGATGCACTTCCCCCCAAAAATCTGGGAGGAATAATGGTTGTTAATGCTGCTGTTGACTTCTGTGTACATTTACATTGGTGAACTACTGTGTTATTTATGTTATTAAATATTTTACCACATTTTTGCTTCAAAATTTTTTTTCCTATATTCCTCCTCTAGAACCTAGGTACATGCGCTTATGGTCCAAAAAATATGGTATCTACTGTAGAGAAATAAAATCATGTCCACGCAAAGACTTGTATGTAAATGTTTACAGCAGCATTATCCATAATAGCCAGAAAATGTAAACAAGCTAATACTCATCAACTAGAGGATGGATAAGTAAAATGTGGTACATGTACACAATGGAACACCACTCAGTAATAAAGATGTACAAACTCTTAGTCAATGCAATAATATGGCTAAATCTTAAAACTATGATAAGTAAAAGATACAAAAGGCTATGTACTGTATGATTCTATTTATATGAAAGTTCTGCAAAGATGAAAGGAAAACATGGAAGAAAATACTTGGCTGACTTAAACCGAGGGTCAGTTGAAGAGTGACATGAGGCCATCTTAGGGGACACTGGAAGCCTTCTACATTCTGATTTTGTTAGTGACTGTGGCTACTGTTACTGCACAGAACACATCAAACTCTACACTTGTAATGGTTAAATTTTGATGCACATACTATATACATTTATAAAGCTTTAGAAATTGCATTCAGTTATCCCTAAAATATGTGGCACCAAAGTTATATTCATGATTTTAATTCTGAAGCCTTTAGGCTTAGAATTCCCCAATTTTCCCTTGGTCTGGTATCTGTGGGGAAAGTGCCTTCCTCTCACCGGCCATGAACCACCTCAACCCTGAAAAATGATGCTGCTGTGAATCATACTCCCATCTCTACCAACACAGTTTCTGAATTGGGATGACACATGTCATCCTTTTGAATAGTTCACTTATCTTATTACATATGAGAAATGGTTCACCACGTAATGTCCAGTGGTCCTTCCATTTCTAATTGTCTAATAAAAATGAGAGTGTTAGAAGAATCAATCTTGGAGACATTTTTCTTAACAGAAAAATCTCCCCAACTTTGAAACAAGATCCCTTGGAGATAAGGTTTTCTTCTGCTTTGATGACCCCATCTCTTTGCTTGCTTTCATCTGTCAGGACTGCATATATACCTGGGAACTGGTGATTTAACTTGCAGCTACAGATATAAGAAGGGTTGTACTTCTGCATCAGCTTGATCAGCTCATTCTCTGGGTATAGGAAAATAACCACTCTTCCTTTAGAAGCAGGACAGAAAGAACTGAAAATATACCAATAGGAACAAAGAAAAGGAAAGCTACACTTTAGCAATAGACAAATAGAACCCTTTGTACTCAGAGAATATCCTGAAGTCTATTTACTCAAAGGCAGTCCCACTTATCAGCTTCACCATGACTTTACAAATCTTAATTTTGAAATCAAACTTTTTCGCTCATATTAATACCCACCTCAAAAAATGAGAGATCTCAATAGCTAGAAAGATTATATGTGTATCTATATCTCACATGAAAAAAAGAAAGAGAGAGAGAGAGGAAGGAAGGAAGGAAGGAAGGAAGGAAGGAAGGAAGGAAGGAAGGAAGGAAGGAAGGAAGGAAGGAAGGGCTTTAAAAATGAAAGACCTCCCATAATAGGGTGAAAATGTGTCCCCAAAGAAATTAAGATTGCTTTCATTAACATAATGAAACATTGTTAATAAGCTATATTATATTTTACAGTATCAAACAGAGCACTATACCTTACAACAAAAGCACATGTAGGAGAATGTACATCTAATCCATGGGTTAAATAAGTTTTGGGGGCCTTCTATGACCTACCCTTGCAACTACCTTCTCTGTTTGTGCCTTGTTCTTTATGACATTTTTTCTCAACAGCTAGCTTACCTTCCTCTAAAGATCTATAGATCTTTCAAAACACAAACCAAATGTTACCCTTTCCTATCTGAAAGCTGCCCTATTATTCTAATAGAAAGTAATTACTCTTTCTTCAGAATCATAAGCAATTTGTCTAAGCCACTCTTACAGTGCCTACCATTCTCTGATTTATTGAGTTATTAGTATAAATCACTTTAGCAGCTTTGTTTCAATAATCAATCAACATTCCTGTATATCGCAAAATTTTATTTTATTTTTTTGTGGCAAGAATTTTATGGTATGCTAAAATTCATTCATGATAAAAGCTCTGAGAAATCTATAGACAGAAGGGAGCTACTTCAAATTTAGTAATAAATACCTACAAAAATGCTGCAGCTAACATCATACTTAGGAGTGAGTAACTTGAAGCTTTCTCTTCATCACTCTTTTTCAACATTATACTGGAAGTTCTGGCTAAAGCAATAACAGGAAAATGGAAATAAAAGGTATCCTTAGTGGAAAGAAATAAAACTGTCTGTCTTTGTAATGGATGACATGATCACCTGAGTAGAAAATCTGAAAGCACACACACACACACACACATATACACAACTATTAAAATGTTATTGCAGTTTTGAAAGCACTTTCAAAAACTAGGACATTTGAATGGCTTGGCATAATTTTAATTGGTTAGGTTTGCTGCAATAACAAACCACCCAAAAACTTAGCAAGTTAAAAAAAACAGCCAGTTATTTAGCTCATGATTCTCTGAGTCTCCATCTTGGCTACAATCAGCTGGGCAGGTCTTTAGGTTTGGGCCTGATTCTTTGAGTCTCCATCTTGGCTACAATCAGCTGGGCAGGTCTTTAGGTTTGGGCCGGATTCAGCTTGGCTAGGTAGGCGTTTACAATTGCGGTCACTTGGTGGGTTGCCTGAGGACTGGAACTGGAGGGCTGGCACGACTGGGACTTTCCTCCATTTGGCCTCTTGTCCCCTACCAGGCTTGCCTTGCCTTGTCGACATGGCAGTCCAAGGATCCCAAGAGCAGCCCTCCGTCACCCCCCATGGAAGCTGTGGGGTCTCTTGAGGGTTGGGCTGGGAATTTTCACACAACGGGACATCACAAGGCTGGTCCTATTAAGGGTTGAAGAAAGAGACTCCATCTCTCAACTGGAGGAGGTATAGTATTATGGCCATGTTGTAATTATCTATAATTATAAAGTGATATTCAACAACATAATTATTGAATTACTCTCAGAATAGAGATGGAAATCATATCGTTGTTTCCTAGCCAAGTTGTAATATTTTCGATGAGAGAGAATTAACTGTTACAGTAAAGATCATCTTAATTATCAAGGCGATTTAAAAACGTGTCTGTTTTTAACTTCAGAGCACTGGGCATGGATATGAGTTCCTTTGACATAACCCTTCACCATGAAAATTAAATCGTCTCCCTTTTATAATTTTTTTCATGATAATCTCTCTAGCATGATACAGCTCCCATCATAAAATTATGTTTTCCTATTCCATTTCTGAAAATAGCCATCTTTTTTTTTTTCAAGTATCACAATGTTTATTGATAGATACAAGTATATAAAATCAGGGCATGAACATGACTTGATAAATTAAGTAGACTTAATTTCAATACTATAATAAGAGGGACCAATTCAAATTCTCACCATTTGTTTCACACCCACAAAAACCACTTCAAGGGCATTAAACGATCTCTCAAAACTGATCAGTTTTGTGCAAGTAAACCATGTTTCTTTTAAAAAGACGTGTGCACTTGCCCAGGCTCAAGGATATTAAAATCTAGCACATAAAGCCCATTACTAGAGGTAGAAATACAGGCAATATACTATTACGGCAACAACCATCAATTACAGTTAAGAATTTTTCTGTAACAACCAAATGGATAATCAAATATTGCAACAACTCAAGTATTACTGAGCAAAGTGCATTTCTACAGTATTCAGTGTTGCTATTCAGTTTTCTAACTTAAAACAGCCTATGATAACTGGCAGCAAAGAAGATCCTTGCAATAGACTGCCTTCTGCTTGAGAACTTATGATGTAAGTATTGCATGCTGCTAATATACTATCTAAACATTAAAGATACTCCTAAAATATTTGATGGTAGACTATGATTAAGACATTACACTACAAAAAACCTTATGCAGAAGGAAATCCTAACTGACGTGCTTCTGCTTTAAATATTGTGAAAACATTACGGCGGAATGAATTTTCGCAGTGGTTAGGTCAAATGCAGTTACACCATATCAACAGTATGTTTTGCACAATTTAAGGCTTTGGCTGGTTCTTTAGTCAGCTTCTTCCTCTGATTCTTCTTCCTCAGCAGTTTCTAGCCAGGTTAGCCACTGATTCACCTGGAACAAAGCCTTGCCTTTCCCGGGAAACTCTTGGGTTATGTCTTCCTTCCAAGCCAAGAAAGCTTCTTCTTCAATAATTTCCATGTCATAGAAGTGAACAAAAAAGCGGAGTAACATGCCTTTTGGGAAGTTGCTGTTGTAACAGTGCACCTGAAGAGCATACAGGGCACTTACTTGTAGATCAACATGATCGTGAAGGAATTTCTGCATTACTGGCTTGAAAGAAAGAAGCAGTTGTTTTTCCTGCTCTAACTGTTCTTTGGAAGGAGCAGAGGAAGAATCTGTTTCATCACTGGGTGGGTTTACTTCACTAGAAATATACTGTAGGAAGCTAGTCATTAAGATGTTCACAAATCCTTTATCTACATGAAGTTTGGGAGAGATGTTGTCTTTAATCCACTTATATATGGTCTGAGGGGATGGATCCAACTTTATTTGCTTCAATAGTTCCTTCTCCAATTTGAGGAGTGGAAATAAGAAACTAAGTCCCTTTCCTTCCAAAATCTCCAACATGCGATCCTTATTTTGATCAATTTCTGGGAGCATTTTCTGCATATTGACCTTGCTTTGTTGGAAAAGTTCTGTTAACCATTCTCGATCTTGTAACTTAGCTAGTTGCTGAAGACAAAGTAAGAAGAGAGGAAAATGGGTGCCACTTTCCAGTGGTTGCGCTAGTTCGGAAATGCTCACCAGCTCTGAAATGATGGCACGAGCTGCGAACTGTGCTAAATATGATTTCACCAAGGGGATGTCAACCTCCAGTTTGGGGCACTGGTCCAATACATTCAAAAAAGCCTGCATGAAGTTGTCACTTGTAGCTATTCCTTCCTGTTTGAGTAAACTGATCAAAGAACTGGCTTTTTCTTTATCTTCATCACTTCTGTCTAGTGACAGGATGATTACTTTGCTTAACATCTCAGGAAGAAAGTGTTTAGGAGCCCGCATTTCTCTTACACCACTGACAGCTTCATTTGCATTTCCACTGTTCAGATATTCAGTCACAACAGTTTCAGTTAGTTTAAGTAGTTCTTCCTTTGAGGGTGGCGGCTTTTTACTGGTCTTGGCAGGCTTTTCCTGAATAAGTGGTGGATTAGTTTTGAGACCAAGCTGAGGTGTCTGTCCCAGAGGAGGTGTCTGAGTGCGCGGTGGCTGCGCACTAGGAGGAATCATAGTTATCTGGGGCTGAAGCTTTGGCACTTGATTTTTATTCATTAGGAACGACTGAGCAGGCCTCAGACTAATCTCATCTGCATTAAGCTGTCCTTTCTTAGAAAACCGAGGTGGCATATCCTTCGACTGTCCTTGCAGCTGGGATAAGAGTCCCTGACTCTGGTTATGGTAGAGCTGGCTTAGCCCCTGGCTTTTCATAAACTTGCCTCCCATCTCTCCAAACTGTGACTGTGTGGGAGGCATGATGTGTCCCCCATGGCCATTGAAGAGTTGATTTGAACGATGACGCCCCATGGTGGGTGAAAATCTATCCTGGATAACTCCTGGACCAGTCCCAATTCCACTACCTGGCATTTGTCCAAACATATCAGCAAGTCCTCCAAGTGGGTCCCTATCCATTTTCATCCTGGGTGGCATGAAAGGTCCCTCCAGAAAGAAGTCACTCCTCATCCCTTGAGCCATAGGAGCTGGAATAAACACTCCTAGATCTTTTACTGCATCTTGACGGATTTGATTGATCGTCTTTGGTCCATTGTCAAGAAAAGCCTTGCGAGGAACCCAGTGGTGTTCTCGCAACTCTACTGTATCCTGCAGCAGGAAACGAATCCTTGCTGGCAATTCCTTACTTAACATCAAGGAGCACATTCGGGCAAAGTACTGATCCATTAAGGACTTGGCTCGTTCATGGTCTAATCTAGGTCCCACTGTCCTCATTATCTGACAGAGGCATTCCAAATCTTCTCCCATATCTTTGAGTTGGACTCTCTTCTTCTTTTCCAAAAGTGTTTTGATGCACTTATGAAGGATAGATTCATGAATAAGATCAAGCTTTCCAAGTTCTCCAATGAATTTGATGTTCCCCAACATCTTGATCTTAGCAATGGCTCTCTGTTCCTCCTCCTCAGGGAGGAGGGGGTTTTCACGTTTATCATAGACATCAACATTTCTGGTTCGGTTTTCAAATTCATCTTGTAATTTGGAAATTAGGAGGCGTCTGAATGTTGTGCTTTGCTTCTGTCCTGGCTGACCCTCTGCTGCTGGGCCATCAAAGTTTGGTGCATCTTCTGCCAATCGCAGACATAGCTGAGCATACAATGAGCTATACTTTGGCTCTTCTAGGGCTTTGTCCACAATCAGCAGTATGACCCCTTTAAGGATGAGTTTAGACTCTACACCCACATTGAGGAGCTCAAGGCATAGCTTGTCAAACTTTTCAGGAGTAAGCTTATTTAGTATGCCTCTTACTTTCCTGAAGATTGCATCATGTCGTTCTTTTTCATTTGCGGAGTTGTTTGCTGCGGAGTTGTCATCTCGTCTAGTGCTTCGTGCAGGAATCCATTTCTGAGCGTTTTGCCCTGGGGTTTTCCCCAGGAACTCGCTGTTGCCAGCAGTCTTGGGATAGTGCTGAGGTGCACCCCTACTTCCTCCTCCGCCCGAAGAAGCACTGAAACGAGAAGCACCCCCTTCTGCAATCGCACTCTCCACTTTGGCGGCTTGACAATGAAGAGTCTTCAAAAGAATAATATTAATGGATGGGGTGGGGAGGGACGGGGATGGGAGAAATGAAAAACCTTCACCGGGAACTCAGCAGCTGCCAATGCAGCTGCCTCTTCGGGATCCGGTCGTCGGGGACGGGGAAAGGAGGGGAAGGGGAATGGAAAACAAAAAAGGGGGAGGGAAGGGGGAGGAAGGAGTCGGGAACGGCTGGAAACTCTCAGCTCAGAGGAGTCGCTGCTGCAGCCACCACCCGGTACTCGCCGCCGCCTCCATAGAGCTCTGACTCACTGCTGGCCGAAAATAGCCATCTTTTAGTTTGTCTATTACATAGATGAGAAAAATTGGCAAATGTTTTCCATTTGAATCTGATCAATATCAAATGTGGTCAAATGATTACATTTGTGCTTCTTGTATGCCATTTTCCCATTGCTGTATTTTTCAATGTAAGCATGTACAAAGAAAGATTTCGGCCCCTGATTTCCTGCAAAATTTATGCTGCATATGTCATTGTTGCTTCCCTCGATACATTCTTTGGCTTCATTCCCTAAGTGCAGGCCTTAAACAGATTGCTCTTCATAAATTCTTCAAAAGGTCATCCAGCTTATACGTCTTTAGACCAAGACATGGAATGAACCACACCATTTCCACTATTTATAAGCTCTTTGAAATTACACTTACATCCCCTTTATACATTGAGTTTATTTAGCTATGGAATAGAAGTCCTGCTTTCTCCTTCATACGCTTTGGTTGTGAAAATGAGAGCACCAATGTCTTCCATCAAGTGTGCATTTTGCTTATTAGCTGTTTCCTTCTTTTATTCCTTTCATTCCTGTGTTTTTTTATCATTTTCTAGCTCTTCTAATTGAGTCCAGAGAATAACAGTACAGTAGCTACTCACAGAAAGATCCCTTCAACAATGACTCAAAAATTCTGTGCCGCACTCATGACTGGATTTATTGGTTCCACATGGAGAAAATCCCAGTCACGTACTTATCCTGGAAACTAAGTGAGGCGCCGAGTTGTGGGTAGAAAGGAGAAGCCTGTGAGGTCAGAATAATGATGATAATAACAGTGATGAAGATACTATGACAATAGCTTCCTTCTGACATTTACCACATACACTCAGGGACTCACTATTGTCATTCCCATTTTAGAGACAGACGCCGAACCTCAGAGAGGCTGATTAGCCTGGAGAAACAATAGCTATTCAGAGAGGGAACAAGAACTTCAACTCCAGGTCTATTACACTCCGCATGCCCGGCTCTTACCCATTGCTTCACAATGGAAAAATGAAGGCAGTGATGAATTTTCTCCTGACTTCCTGGAATTAACTCTGTCACTAAATCATTTTTATGACTTTTTCATTAAACGCTTTGCATATGTTTCTAGAGCTGAGTGATATTCAGATGTAACAGAAAACATGAATTAGAGAGAAAACACTACGCCCATCTTTGGATCCTATGTAAATTAGGGCTAATTGAGTCTAGTAAAATTGGGATGTGGACACGCAGTGATGGTAATGGGATTCAGTGGACATACGTTCTGGGCTCTAGAGAGTGAGGTGACAGGTGGCAATTATCATTAGTGACTTTTGAATAAAGATGTTGGAGTCTTCTCACTCATTAGACCAAACAGTTCAACTGTCATTAGAAGGAGCCATAAAAGGCCCTGAAATACCATCAGAAAGAGGGTAATGGTTATTGCCGTAGCAACCTATTATTTCCGTATTGGCGGTGTGATTAAGAAATCAACATCACACATTACCCTCCATCAGCTGTGGTGTTTAATAACTGGTGACAGTGGTCACCAATCAAACTGGGAACAGTTTCCATACCTTCACTGAAACTCACATGGCGCACACAGCTTCCTTTTCCAACTGTGACTTTAATTTGAATATCATCAGGAGCAAGTCAAGACAGATATGCTGTCAATCATCCCAAAAGTCTGGTCCTCATTGGAGGCATACACACTAGGAACGCATTCACCACGAAAAGGAGACTGGAATTTTACCATCGCGGTTTGTTACAGATCTCTCAGGAACAAGAACACAGATGTCGTTGTCACTTTTTGTTTTTCTTACCCACTCGCTGTAAATAGAACACGTGGAGCATTGTTGAAGAGGTAATATATCACCTGATAAGGAAACCACCACCCAGATTCTACGCTAAGAGAGAAAATTCTGTAGACTACACAGTAAATTAAAAGATGTAAAAACTCTTCTAGAGGACATTATGCTTAAGGAAACACATTCTCATTATTTTGAATAAGACTTTGAATTCTTAAAGCCTGACCTAAATGACAATTATAATTGGATGTTTACAATGAAAAATATGTAGAAAACCTACAAGCAATAAGTCAGTAATTATGCACTTGCTAAAAACATGTGCTTGGCATTTTTTTAAATTCCCTAATTAAATTCTAATTAGGATATGCAGTGGAGTGTTAATTTTTTTGCTAGCTATACCTCCAGGGCATTTTTTTTACACCTTCAGGAACCTACACTTATTCAGATATGTAAGAGATAATTATCAATAGAAAGGACCATAGCATCGCTGGCATGGAGAATTGCTTGTCTGTGGTTTCTGCCTCTACCTAAACAGCCCAGGGGAGCTGTGTGTGACTGTGCACTTTCCTTAGCTGACCAATAGGTGTATGACTTTCTCTGCATCCTCCAACCAGGGCTTTCCTTCCAAAACTAGAGAGGGACAGAGAAATACGCGGAGCTGCTCAGTGAATCTGAATACAGGGTGGCCAACCAATCGGGCGCGTTCAAACATCTGGTCTCGCATAGCAACTCAGACTGCAAATGGGAAACCACGTGTTTCGCTCTCAGAATCCATGCAGTTCACTTTCACTTAAAGTCCACACATTACAATTCCAATGATAGAACTGGCCACTCTTCTCCGTAATTGCTCTCCCAAGGTTTTCTTGGAGCTTTCTAACAAATGTATTTCTACATTACCAAACCATACTTAGACTTTTTTTTCGAACTCTTATCCTAATTGCCAAAAATGTCCATCACCTTATATATAGTAGGCAGACACTAAGATAGAAAGCAGTCTATATTTCCCTAAACATTGGGGCATGAACCAAAAAAGAAAAATACAAATGCCTATTAGGGCAAAGCGTTTTTACATTGACTTCTCAGCACGAATCAGTGAGTAGTGGCATCTTAATTGTCCACAGAATTGTTAAACTCATAGTTTAAGAATTACCCAAAGACCCACCACTAATTGCCAACAGAGCCAGGATTTGAATTTGTGATTCTGAGTTGTCAGGAGGCTGAATCATGCTCTTCCATATTCCAAATCCACCTTCGCCAATCTCACGTATCCAACAGAAAACATAGTAAGAGAGTCCTGCCCTCCTCCCAGATGACACTCCCATAGTTTTTTTGCATTTCACTTCTGTGCCTAATTTCAATAAGCCCTTCAGTAAGCCCCTCATTTTTCAAAAAAAAATGCACTTTTCTCTCATTTTGCTCTGTTCAGTAACAGTCACGAGCTACTGTCAACAGATGTGAGAGTTAACAGATCATTAAATTTTCCTCCACGCGGCATCCTCAGAAATGCCCAGGGTCACACCTCTTCCCATCTGAAAAGATTGGCTTTAGAACAGCTTTGCTCAAAACTACTAACTTAGTCCATTTTCTCTAATGTGCAATTAACATGAACAATTCCGCAGACAGGGCCATGGTGCAGTCAATTATACCTGGGTTCCTCTTTGCACCTGTATTCTATCTTCCTGTCTACTGGGCTATCTGTCTTCCCTGAGAGACCCTCACCGAGTCACCTAAAGGCTGGGGGCCAGAAGTCTCTTCGGCAAACTTTATAACGGAGCACATTTTGTTTGAGAAAAATCACGGGGAGAGAACATCCTGCCAGTTCAAGGGTGGGTCCCTCACTCTCTGCTCCACAGACACGCACACACAACATGATTTCTCTGTGTGAGATGCACCTCCTTCCACTATGTTCGATTGAAGAAATGGAAAATGAGTTATCCAGAAAATCCTAGTTTAACTTTCCTTCTTGTAAGAAATTTCATCCTGATTTCCCCAACAACATTGATTATATGCTATTTGAATTCCAGCTGTACTTCATGCATTCCATAAGAACTAAAGGTTAGCACTTTTTAGGGCATTAATTTTTACTCCTTTTATCCCTCTCTTTATACTCTAAAATGCAGGGACTGTGTTATTACTACCGAGGGATCTCCAGCGGGTCGCACCGTGCCTGATTTATATTTGTTGATCATGCTTAGTTATTCACTTACACATCTTTAAAAATGTGTTCAGCATGGGGACTTGTACCTTCTAAGATACACACTACCCCAATGGTCTCTGCCTTTTTGGATCTCCATCCTCATGTTATTCCTTGCCCTTGAGTAAGGGTATACCTTGGGATCAATAAACACAAGACAGCAAGAATAATGAGACTTTTCTTCCATGATTAGGTTACTCAATACAGAGACTTCCACATTGGTGACACCCTGTCTTTCTTTTCTGGCTCTGATGAAGCAAGGTGCCATGATGACCGATAAAGAACTTTTGGCCACACAGCCAACAGTCTGCAAGGAACTGAATCTTCCCAGTAACCCTATGAGTAAGTCTGGGTCTAAATCTTTTCCTAACCAATCCTTCAGGCAAAGTTACAACCCTCCTAAATCCTTTGGTTGCAATTTTGTGGGATTCTAAAACAAAGGAGCAGATAAGCTATACCAGAATTCCTAATGTAAGGAATTCCTGTGGCTCTGTATTAAACCACCAAGATTTGGGGTAATTTGTTACTCAACAATACAAAACTAGTACAGTGTTGGCATTTTATTAAGTGCTGGCAACATAGTTATGAGCAAAATAGAGATCTCTTTTCTTTTAGTGCTCTATTCTAGTAACCAAGTAAAAAATGTCTCATTATCTAAATGTAGAAAGAGCTCAGTACTCTATGTATGTGAAGCCCTTTTCAAATGGTATTTCAGGTATTTATTGCCCTATAACAAACTGCCCTAAAACAATGATTTAAGACAACAAGGATGAATGATTTCTCATGACATCCTCAGTCGGCATGGGACCCTCTGCTGGTTTTTCCTG